TAAGATACATATTTGAAGAAATTGTAAAATAATAAGTTGTTGATTGTACCTTGTTAATCACATAAAACTTATTTGTACACAACGTTTGATGTGTAGATTCCATCATTATCAAACGTTTTTTTGGCTTTACTAATACCTTGGTATTGACACGTGATATTCCTCTGGACAACGCCACATAAAGTTGGCCATGTGAGAATACAGATTCTGGCAGATAAACACCTACATTTGGAATTGTTTTTCCTTGAGCTTTATTGATCGTCATAGAGAAACTAAGCTGAATTGGAAATTGCTTTCTCTTTAGTTTGAATGGGAACATCTCATCGTCAGACGAGCATAGAGGAATTCTTGGTAAAAACACTCTTTTTCCAGCATGTTGACCAACAGCTATCTCTGCATCAATGACATTTTGTTGGAAAGCTCGACATATCAATCTGGTGCCATTACATAACTTAGTCATTTTAACATATGAACCAAATATGTATTTTAGTCTTTCCATTGATTGGAATATTAACATATTTTTCTCTTAAAAATAAAAACAACCACACAACGTGCAAAATTAACCAAAACAGCATTGTACTTTTTACATACAATGTTTTATAGCGATTTTTTTTTGAAATAAATTTAGGACAAAAAAATTGAAAGAAGAATCAACATACAAAGGCATCTATTGAAATTCAGATGCATAGCAAGATTCAATCAATTAACTAATACAAAATCAAGAATATATTAAAGAATATTAATATCAATCACCATGTAAATTATAAATAATGACATTGCATGTATCACAGAACACAGATATACTTTTGACTAAATGTTGACCATAATATTTTTTTTTTTCAACTAAAAGCAGTACAATAGTAAAAAAAGAGTTCCTGTTTTATAAGTAGAGGATTTTTGCAAATGTTTTATTCAAGTAAGTTAAGTATGAGTAGTTTACGTGGGTAATTAAAAGAATTAAAAGAATTACTTCAAGTAATTTAATAATTAAAAAAAAGTTACTTTTCAGACATAAACGATTACCTGCTCAAATTTCTTTATCTCTTGAAGACATCAACATATGTATGCTTTCTTTAGTTTAGGAAAAGAACACAGACCAAAAGAGTTGCAAGTAATGAGTAGTAAATATGATGTACCTTCATCCATTTAGTCCAAATTTACATGTATCTTGTAAATGCTTTGCTTAAACTTGGTGATGACTACCCTTTCCACTAATTTAATGACAGCTTTTAATTACTCCTACACATTCACAAAAGAAAATTTTAAGGGTTGAGATGGTTAATACGATTCAGTTTTTAGGATACATAAAAGAAATCCCTAACTACTACATGAAAGAAGGTATGGCATACCTCCATCGGAATACAAATGAGATTTTTTTTATGGCCGATTTCAAGTTCAGCCGGTGAAGATCAATTTCTGCATGGGGACAAAGATAAAACATGAAGGGGACGAAGATCATCTGAAAAACACGCACATGCACACACATAGTTAGAAAGAGGCTATAGAGCGATATCTTGGCTGCAAAAATTGATTTTTGGTCTTTTAATTGAATTCCATCCACCTTCCCGTTGGAATGCTCAAATCCATGTAAACATGGATTTAAAAGACCCCATGGAATTGGAATTTAATCAAAAAACAAATAAATAAATAAAACCCAAAACCCACGTGACCAAATGTATGTCCCAGATTTAGTGTGGCCTTTAAACCACTTTCTGTCTCATCTTGAGATACGCTTTATAGCATATGCAAAAGCATCATGATCCATAAAAAACAAAATCACATTCATTAAGATATGAACTTTTTATCCTGCTTTTTAAAAATTGCAATTTTTGTTTCACTGATTATCATTTTAACAAAATAATCTATTTACCTGGACATCAAAGCTTGCGTGTTCTTCTCTTGCCACTCAAAAAATGGAGCATCTCTAATAAGCCCATGCTTGATGACCTCAGCAAGACCTGGAGCACACAATGTGGCTAATAAAATGCTCCAATCAAGTTTTTTTTTCCCAATTTGTGGTTTATTCCCGTTTTACCCCCGACCGAAGAATCCACCTGGAGTAGCAAATGAAACTATAATCAACAATGAGATGGACATTTACATCTTTTTCACGGATGAGATAAAAAGGTACAACTTTTGTCCCATTCGGGGACACTCTGAGTTTAATGTGTTATACCTGTGCCATAACAAATGTAGGGACACCAATTGCGGTCAGTTTTGGTTAATCCAAACCATAGAACATTCATAGTCATCTGACATTCAGATTTGAAACACATATCGAATGAGCCAAAAAATCGTCTAACTGAATATATTTATAAATGTAGTAAATTACAGCACTTACAAACTTTTAGTCGCCTGTGCAATCTCTGCCAATGCAGTACCATGTGGACCCAAAGGTTCATCATCAGTTGCATCTAATACCTGAGTCAACATCAATGACAAATCTCATGGAAACCAATATAACCATTAAGTCATTAGTAAACGAAAGACTGTCAAATTGATCTTACAACTTATTTCTTTTCTTACGCTTTTGCCTATCATCATAACTATCCAGCCTTTCCTCTTCCTATGCATCCTACTCATCTTCATCAACAATCATCTCTCTCATACTCATCATCTTTTACTTCTGTTTAATCAAGGCCATAAAAATTAGATCATTTGTAATTCCTTTACATCATCACTGCTTTTGATCAAAATAAGATGTAACTGGTAATTGTAAAGAATTCATGAACCTAAAATTAAACTAAACACAATTTTAGACATGCTTTACCTGACATGATGGATAAGAAATTCTCAAAATATGAAGCACTTTTGGTGGAACATAATATGCACTTCCTATGATACCATTATCAGAAAACCCAAAATCAATAAGCTTCATATGAGAATCTTCACTTTTTCACATGAGAAGGAAGCTAAAAAGAAACAATAATATATGTACAGTTCCTATTAACAAATTAAACTCAGAATTTGAATATAAATTACCCGATTGAGCAACATGGATCAACTCTTGCGACTGAGATGCCGATTAGGGCTCGTGTAGGGAAAATGAAGCAGAAGAGCGGTCACAAGAAGGGGGCTGACTGATCAGGAGGCGGCCAAAGAATTCCATACAATTATAGAGGTGGAGATGATCGGTCGAATCGGAACAATCAAAGCAAGAAACCAAAATCGGACCACCGACGACGTTAACACGGTGTTTGCTCAGAGAAGAGGTCATCCGGGTCTTTGATAGGCAAATCGATGATGGTGGAATCGTCTGGACGGTTTCGCGTTACCTTCGGTGTGAGATACCGATTGTGGGTTATCAGTGCGTGTTAGATAAAGTTGAATCAGGTGGGGAGGAGATCTTGAATCAGAAGATATTGGATAATAGAGAATCATCTTTGTCTCCCTCGTTTTCCTCGGTATCACTTGGTGGTGGCAACAACACGATCGCACATATCCCCCAAATTCGCTGGCTGAAAAGCATGTTTCGCCGGAAACCCATCAGCCGAGACCGACGGCCCTACCCGCCATACCTGATTCACATTCGTCATCCCTTTTTTACGCAACTCAACCGTAGAAAAAATCCTCATCACCCCATCAAAGTAATCGGCTCTCGTATCCTTAGCCAGTCAGTGAAGAGATAAAGAGAGAGACGGATGAGTTTTCGTTTGATGGTGGTTGTAGTAATCGGCTCTCGTATCCTTCGCCAGTCAGTGAAGAGATAAAGAGAGAGACGGGTGAGTTTTCGTTTAATGGTGGTTGTAGTAATCGGCTCTCATATCCTTCGCCGGTCAGTGAAGAGATAAAGAGAGAGACAGATGAGTTTTCGTTTGATGGTGGTTGTTGTATGTAGAGGAGATTTGGTTTGATTTGGTGAGTATCGATCGATTCTGAAGCGATTAGGAAGGAGACGGAAAGGAGAGGGTTTCGGTTTCCTTCCGATGGGCGGCTGTTGTGTGTAGTGTTATGGCGGCTGTTGTGTGTAGTGTTGTGTGTAGAGAAGATTAGGGTAACATCTTCGATAAGGAAATACCGTGTATGTAATTATAAGCTTAATAGTACTGTACATGAGGTAATAGGTATTATACCTCTTAATTTTCAAGAAAGAGACAATATGTTTAATAATATAGTAAAGATATGGGGATTAATTATGTAAATCAATGATTCTTGTAGTGTGGGCTAATGATCCATGATTATTTAGATTGGCTAAAACAATAAGTTAATCCATGGATAGTCCATGGAGGTTAAACCCATGGAGGATAAGAATGTGGAAAGTCATGGAGCATTAGGGTTTACAAAGTGTAACCCTAGCATGTGCAACACTATAAATAGAACCCTCATAAACCAAAATCGGTTACACCTTCTCTTTGAGATAAGTAACTTATTCTCTCAAGCCATATTTTGCATATTGGTGTTTGTGAACCATTAGAGGCATCACACTTGGGGTGCTCAAGCTTTCAAAGGTCAAGAACTACTAGTCCTTTTAAAAGGTATGTCATCTAACTAGATGTATTATTCATTTGGCAATTTTTATGCTAGTTAGGACAATGCTTTGGAAAAATTGAAAATATGCATGTAAAATATAGAAAACATAGATCCAAAACATTTAGGGTTGCATGTGCACCATAGGAGTGTTATAGTGCTCAAAACCCAACATCTCTTTTGGCTCCTCCTCGATCCATCCGTTGGCTACCATGGCAGGGTAGTAGGGGGTCTTCGGGGTGAAATTCAGCCATGTCGTCTGTCCGAGAATAGAGGTATAAGAACTACATAGAGGGTTTAAGTGTATGATTTTATGGTATCCTAAAATACTCCTATAGTATTTTAAATGTTGCGTTTGATTCTTGATATCTTAGTGTTGGTAAGTGTTTAGACTCGTCGTTCACTACGACTATTTTCCCAACATATGCTAGTTACACCTCGGATGAATATAGTTGATCAGGCTATATTTATTCAAGGTCTAATTACATATCCCAAGGCCTACCCGTAGTTTTCGACTCATCATACTACTTTTATTATGCTCTCGTTATGATATGCCCTAACTTGTATGTACTTATACTTTACTTAAAATATTATTATATTTTTAAAAGTATATCTGTAGTGAGGGTGTTTTAGCCCCATTGTATTTATAATTGTATATCTTGTATGGTCTGATATACTAGTTCACTATAAACAATGCTCTGATACCAATCTAACCTCCCCTATGCCACGTTTCACAATATTGTCCGCTTTGGGCCACTCGGCACGAGGACTTCCCAGGGGGTCACCCATCACGGTACTACTCCCGCCCGAGCACGCTTAACTGCAGAGTTCTTATGGGATCTGCTACCCTCACGGCTTTAAAACGCATTGTGTTAGGGAAGGTATCCACACACTTTATAAGGAATGCTTAGTTCTCCTTCCCAACCGATGTGGGATCAGGTGCAACCCACCTTCACCCCCCCCCCTCCCATCTGCTTGGAAGGAACGGGTGAAGGTGCAACCCACCTTCACCTGATCCCACATCAGCTTGGAAGGAGAACTAAGCATTCCTTATAAGGTGTGTGGATACCCTCCCATAAGAACTCTGCAGTTAAGCGTGCTCGGGCGGGGTAGTATCGGGATGGGTGACCCCCTGGGAAGTCCTCGTGCCGAGTGGCCCAAAGCGGACAATATTGTGATGCGTGCCATAGGGGGAGGTTACAACAAGGGATCAATTGGATCTGCTAGTGATCTATAGAAAGAATATCGTCGATACATGAGGATTATTTGGATCAGAAATGGATCCATAGAAACAATATTGTCGATCCACGATGGATCCATAAAAAGATTATTGTCTAGAGGTTCGTATGAAAACCATATGAGATACCAGAGTGCGAATGATTGTACATGTCTATAGGTTCGTATGAAAACCATATGAGATACCAAAATGAGAATGATTGGACACCAGTAAGGTCAAATGTAACATCTTTATTCCCAATACGTAATCTATTAAAGCCTTATTCTATTTATTTCACTAAAATATAAAAATTTGAAAGTAAGAAATTTGATGCGGGAGCCTGGCGCGCTTCTGAAGGTCGCAACACGCCTAGGCCCATGGGCTGAATGTATTTGTAAGGTTTTAGGGGCTATTTAAGAATCATTAGCCCCTATGGTTAGATCATTCCCAGCCCCCTTCATCCTCTAGAGAGAGATTCGGAAACCTAAACCCCAGTTCTCTCATTTTTAAGCTTTAGTGTCCTTGGAAATATTATATTTCATCATTTGTGATTGAAGATTGAAGATCAAGTATCCTATGTTTACTCGGTAGGAAGTGTTGGATTAGATGTCTAAGCTCATAACTATTATTGGTATCTACTTGACCCGACCCGGCATGGTCCATTTGGGTTGCACTTCACCGAAACAATTTGGATGGATAATCTTTTGAGAATAGTATAGTTATGATTTATTAATATATTATAAGTTATAATATATTAATATGAAAT